CACTTATTGAAGAGGCTGTCTTTTCTCCATTGTATATTGTTGCCTCCTTTATCAAAAATAAGGCGACCATTTGTGTGTGGGTTGGGAAAATTATCTTTGAGTAAGTAAAACACTATGGAAGGAACTCAAATATTCATCAAAGTAAAATAGATAAGCACATGTGGTATATTCATACATGACAATAATATACAACAATGAAAATAAATGAACTATAGCCATCCACAACAACATGCTTGAGTCTTAGAAACATAATGATGAGTTTCCTTTCATATGGAATTAAATATGAGCAAAATAAACTATATTTTTAGGGATGCATACAAATGAGGTAAAATTGTAAAGAAGCAAAAAGAAATGATTATTACAGGAATCAGGATGGTGGTGACCTCTGGGGTAATGGTGGTACTGTGAACAGGAGGAACCCATAGGAGGCTTCCAGGTGATGGCAATATTCCATTTCTTGACTTGGGTTAGTGACATTATGGATGTTTATTTGATAGTAATTCATTAAACTATTCACATAGGTTTATGAACTTTCCTGTATGATGGTTATATTGCATCATAAAAGAAGAAAAATAAAAAACAGGACATAGTTTGCTGCCTAGTATTTAGCATTATATCTTGGGCAAATTTTAATTTTGACATTATTTATATTTTTTAACATCTTCCTAGATTCCTCTAGATTCATAGTTCCTAGCATTTAAAGGAATCTCTCACTTTTCTCAAGGGGTTCTGCAGCCCACTTTCTAGGGAATGCTACAATAACAGTAATTAAATCATATTATAGAGACATATGGAAAGCCACATATGTCTGAACGACCCCTATCACAATTCCATTCCACTGCTACATGGGATAAGCCTGGCTTTATCTTTCTTCCAGTATAATCTGGATTTCACTTCTAGATCCATGTAATGCTGATCTCCAGTCCTGTGTTTATAGGATTGAATTTATTAACTTAATTTATAAGGATGAAATTTACCTTTCAAGGCTGTTGTGGCTTGAAATGCATGGTGGCTACTGTGCATTTTAATGAAACAAGACAAATAATAGCCTAAATGATTGCTCTAGAATCAGATAATAATGTTCTTTCATTGCATACATTTAAGGGAAATGGTTTTTAAAAATGGGTTTGATGTGATTGCCTGTTGCTTCATCTCAGTGATTGATTTTTTTTTTTTTTAACAATGGATCCTGACCTTTCTCCCCCATATACCCTAGGACATTTGTTTACTCACTGCTCACTAGAGGGAGGCCGTTTCCAGTTGTATTCCTTTTCAGAGGCTTTGTCTTCTGCATGGGAAATGGACTCCTCCAAGGCTACTATCTGGTTTACTGTGCTGAATACCCTGCTGAGTGGTACACAGACATACGGTTTAGCTTGGGTAAGTGAGTCTGACTGCTTCTCACCCATACCCCAGTTAACACCCCTGCCCACAGGCTAAGTCACCATTACCTCTCCCTATCCTACTGCAATAACCTTCCAAGGATCCCATTACCCCCACCCCCACCCCACGACCACCTCCACCCTGGTCTTTTCTCTGTATAGCAGCCTGAGAGATCTTTGAAAAACATCGTGTAGTTACCCATCTCAAAACCCTCCAGTGCATTTCTGTTACTCTCAGGATAAAATACAAATTTCTTACCACTGCCTATGAAACCCAAATGTTCTTGGTCCTGCCCCATTTCCTGACTTCATTTCCTATCTCCATCCATCTCACTGTGCTGTAGCCTCAGTGGCTTTCCTGCTGGACCTGGAATACTCAAGTTTGTCCTGCTCCAGAGCTGTTGTACAGACTACACCCTCTGCGTAGAATGCTCAGTCCCTGTATACTCGGGGAGCTTGCTCCCTCCCTTTATTTAGGTCTCTATTAATTCACATCTCCTCAGAGAGACTTTTCCTGACCACCTATCCAAAATAGTAGAAAACACTGATCATTGAATTTTTTTCATTATCTGCAAGAGGAGCTAAAGTTCTTTACTAAAGTAAAGGTTCAACTGTTTGTACATTCTTTTGGCTCAAAGGAAAAAGGCAGAGATTATCCTTAATCCCTCTCTTTACATCACATATCACGTTCCCTCCATCAGCTTAGTACAGCTGCTTCTAGTTCTAAAACATGTGCCGACTGAGCTCAGCTCTCCACGACTGCACTAACTTCATCCTGGTCTGAGCCAGGATGACCTCTTGCCTGGAGTGCCACGGTGACCTTCAAGCTAAACGTCCTACTTCCAGTCCTGACCTTCAGTAGCTCCTTCTCCACACAGTGGTCAGAGGGAACATTTGAACACACGAATGGCCAGAGGACTAGTTGTACGAATGCTGGTACATGCACCCAATGGAGTATTCTGGAGCCACAAAAGCAACCAAACAAAGCAAAACAAAAGCAAGGAATGTCTCTGTGCTCATTTGGAGACATCTCTAGAACATGTGGTTAAATAAAAATAAAGTGTGCAGTGTATGTAGTGTGCTGCTTTTTGTGTAAAAAATTGGAGGAGGAACTATTGGATTGATAAAAGAGAAACTTTTTAAAAAGGGTATCTGTAGGGTTTGGGGTAAAGAGAATGGGATGGTGGGCAGAAATTTTCTTTTAATACAGTTTTGTCCTTTGAATCATGAAACTTCATAACTTAATTAAAAATCCAAATGAAAGTTGCTCAATACTGAGAACAGATAAATAAATATACTTAACTTTATAGTTATTAAACTGATCCTATAACCACACAAGAAAATGCTTTATGCCAGTTTACAGGAAATACAAAGAATAAAATAAGTTAGATGCCACCATGAGGAAGTAAGCCAGTCTTATCTAGAAAGGGGGGCTTTCTGAGGGACCACACTGTCTGGTCTTTTTAAGACGTCTGTGTCCTAAAAAAAAAAAAAAGACAGGGATCTGGGCTAGATGAAAATGGCCTTAAAGCATGTAATGACCAGATGTCAGGTGTGGTCCTATATTGGACTTTGGTTTACATGAACCAGCTAGAAGTGGTATTCTGGGGACATTTGAGGAAATTGGAATATGCCTAGATGTTACATAAGATGAAGATCTGGAAGGACATGCACCAAAGTGTTTAATGGTGGTAGTTCCTGGGTGGTAGGAACAAAGTGTCTTGGTTTTCTTATTTCTGCTAATTAGCATTTCATCTTCCACAAAACATATATACTTCTTTTGTAATGATAATAAACTGACATCAGATCCTATTCTCCCCTGCTTAAAACCTGCCATCGGCTTCCTGTTGCACTTAAAAATCCACACTTCTCGCCATATCCTGTAGAGCTTGATGGGATTTTGAAAGTTCCATCCTCTTTACCACCACCACCCCGCCCCCCATCATCTATCTTAAAGCATTAACTGTAGCACCTTCCTTCTGTTTCTTAGACATGCTAAACCTATACTAGCCTCAGGACCTTTGCATCTGTTAGTCCCTCTACCAGAATGCTCTTCCTCAGATCTTTGTATTCTCATTATTCAAATCATAGGACAGATGCCAGATCTTCAGAAAAGCTTTCCCTATTGACCTCATCTAAAGTAGAGACACTTCCTCCCCACCCCAATTCATTCTTTTTTATCTCCTTATCCTACTTTGATTTTCTGCTTTGTAGTGATATTATGTGATTTAAAATTTTTTATTATTTTAATTCATTTCTTTGTTTCTCCACTGAAATGTAAGCTCTATGAGAACAGACACCTTGACTGTTTTTCTCACTACTTACTATATCCCTGGTGTTTAGGACAGTGCTTGGTACATAGTAAGACCTCAACACATGTTATCTGAATAAATGAATGAAAGAATCAACACATGAATGAGTCTCATACCATCCTTTTAAGATAGGTACTGTTGGAATCTACATTTTACAGATAAGAAAAGTGAGGCTGAGAGAGGTTAAGTGCCTTGTCCAAGGGCACACAGACATCGAATCTAAGGTGCCTGCTTTTCCACTGCTGTGCATGCTATCTCCCCTCCCTCTCCCACACCCTTGTCCTCCCTCCACTGGTGTCCCTTCCCAGGTTTCCTTTCTTCCAGGCTAATAATCTTTTGACAAGACAACATTAACAATCATTATTTCATATCATAGCAAATGAGGTGAGAGTAGATGTGACTGTTTTTAATTCAACTGTTCTTGCTTTTTACGTGATGTATTTTGTTTTCTTTAAATTAATTTTATTATATTTTTATTTTTGGCTGCGTTGGGTCTTCGTTGCTGCGTGTGTGCTTTCTCTAGTTGCGGCAAATGGGGGCTGCTCTTTGTTGCAGTGCACGGGCTTCTCATTGTGGTGGCTTCCCTTGTTGCAGAGCATAGGCTCTAGGTGCGCAGGCTTCAGTAGTTGCAGCATGTGGGCTCAGTAGTTGTGGCGCATGGGCTCTGGGGCACACAGGCTTCAGTAGTTGTGGTGAGCAGGCTCAGTAGTTGTGGCTCGTGGGCTTAGTTGCTCCGCGGCATGTTGGATCTTCCCGGACCAGGGATTGAACCCATGTCCCTTGCACTAGCAGGCAGATTCTTAACCACTGCACCACCAGGGAAGTCCCCTGCCTGATGTATTTTGATCAGCACAAATACACTTGGCTGAGAGCTGGGGTTGGGCGTCTGTGTGGAACAGTGAGTGATTCTGGGCCCATTGGGACGTAATACATAGCATCCCTGACCCCAGCTCTCCTCATCTCAGTCCAGGGCCCTTTCTTTACCTGTGAATGGGGAAGGGGAGTGTGTGTGTGAACTGGCCGTGGTGGAAACCAGTTTGCTAGGTGCCAAGCTCTCCAATTACTTCCATGAGCGTGGGTATATCAATCAGTAGTGCTCTCAGCAATAAGTCACAGAAACCCAACTCTTAGTGACTTAAATAATTAAGAATTTATATTTCCTACGTAACAAGATTGTCCAAAGGTAGGTGGCTTCTGCATTCCTTCAGCTGCTTGCTGGTGTCATTAAGATCCCAGGCACTTTCTGCTCTACTGTTGTGAGAATATTTACTTCTAGTCCTCATCACAGTCACGTCATGGTTGCAAGACATTTCCTGTAGCTCAAGGCATCGCATCTGGCAGCAAAGGAAGAGGGAGGCCATAGAGGCACTGGTCCCATTTAGCCCCCTTTATCAGAAAAGCAAAAGATTTCCAAGGAAACCTCCAGAAGACTTCCCTTTACATCCTCTTGGCAGAACTAGGTCACAAGACCGTCTCTCAGCCTCTGTAGTGGGGGTGGCAAAGGAGAAGGGATTAGAGTTGGCTGTTGAGTTTGCCCACCATGTTTTGACTATCTGTGAATGGGCTGAAAGCTTGCTATTTATTCATTCATTTATTTGTTTATTTACTTATTTAAGTATTGCATGATGGTAGGGCCTCCCTCTATCCTTTCCCGCTTGCCTCTATCACGTGACATTGTGTATTTTCAGCCCTTTGGTTTATGAAACAGCATAGCCCCTTCATTCAAGTTTAGGACCAGGGTTAGTTGCCCCCTCCGCCACTTTTTTGCCTTAGTTTCATTCTTAAAATTTGAAGTCAAATGCCCTTCCCTTCATTTTTAGAAAAACAACAGCAACAACAAAAACTTTAGATTGTGAGAAAAACACCAAAAACAGGATATGTTTTTAACTTCTCCCTCTCTTCTTTGCCAAGGTGTCTTCTTATTTATTTTGGGAATGGGAATCAACATTCATAGTGACTATATATTGCGCCAGCTCAGGAAGCCTGGAGAAATCATCTATAGGATTCCACAAGGTAACGTCTCCCCCGCCCTCCAGATTCCCACTCCTCCTTGGGAGCCTGTCTCAGGAATTACACTATGAGTAACAAAGGGACAGGGGGCAGAGAGGGCCCAGATGACACAATATATCCCAATATGTCCCTGACTTCTCCTCCACGTCCCATCCTACCCCACAGCACATTTGCAGTCCTCACCTGAAACTGGAAGTTCAAGAGAAGAGCCCCCAGGAAGGTTCATGATCACAATACCCTGCAGGTGGGGGGAGGGAGGGGTTTGGGGTAGGGTGAAAGTAGGCTGCCTCTTAGTTGCAGTAGGTAAGATTATTATGTGCTGTACTGGGGTTCTCCAGAGAAACAGAACCAATAGAATACAGATTTAGACATTGATAAATAGATTTATTATGAGGAATTGGCTCACATGACTATGGAGGCTGAGAAATCCCATGATCTTCCAGGTACAAGGTGGAGCCCACAGAGAGTAGGCAGTGTAATTTCCAGTCTGAGTCCCAAGGCGTGAGAACTGGGAGAGCTTCCGTGTAAGTTCCAGTCCGAATGCAGGAGAAGACCAATGTCGCAGCTCAAAAACAGAGCGTGAATTCTCCCTTACCCTGTTTTTTGTTCTATTCAGGCCTCCAGTGGATTGGATGCCCATCATCCCTGGGGAGGACAATCTGCTTTACTCAGTCTGTTGATTCAAATGTTAATCTTATCCAGAAACACCCTCACGGGCACACCCAGAAATAATGGTCAACCAAGTATTTGGGCACCCCATGGCCAGTCAACTTGACACAAAAAATTAACAATCATATGTACAAAGTGTCGATCCTTCCTAGGTTAGCAAATGAAGCCTAATCATGCATGACCAACAAATTGGTCCTCTTCAATAAGTCTCACTAGACTTACCTATTGAGTAGTCAGGGGGTAGTATTTGTTTATTTCCTGCCACTCGTATGTTCTAAAAGGTGTGGGGAACCATATTTACTTAATCAAAAATTAGGATGGGAAGTCTAACAAGTACAAGTGCATTTTCAGAGATAAAGGTGCAGAATATTTGAAGTCCTAACTGTTTCCAAGTAACCAAGGTGTGAGGTTGACAAGTATAAGCAGGTGGGAGTGAATTCGTCCAAGTCATCCTTCAACATTTTTAGGTGGGTATTTGTGTAGGTCAATGGCTCTCACCCTTTTTGATGTAAATACAACTCTTTATTTACATTTAAAAATTACTGAATTATGATGTGATGTTGGCACAGACTAATATCCACCGATTAAAAAAATAATGACAAAGCTACTTTGAATTCGGTAACACTTAAATGAATTTGAATGTTGCTAACATCCTTTCAGTACCTACATCAAACAAAAATAATACTGTAGGTTGAGATACACCATTTGCTATATTCACAGCCACTCGTATGTTCTAAAAGGAGCAGGGAACCATATTTACTTAATCAAAAATTAGGATGGGAAGTCTAACAAGTACAAGTGCATTTTCAGAGATAAAGGTGCAGAATATTTGAAGTCCTAACTGTTTCCAAGTAACCAAGGTGTGAGGTTGACAAGTATAAGCAGGTGGGAGTGAATTCGTCCAAGTCATCCTTCAACATTTTTAGGTGGGTATTTGTGTAGGTCAATGGCTCTCACCCTTTTTGATGTAAATACAACTCTTTATTTACATTTAAAAATTACTGAATTATGATGTGATGTTGGCACAGACTAATATCCACCGATTAAAAAAATAATGACAAAGCTACTTTGAATTCGGTAACACTTAAATGAATTTGAATGTTGCTAACATCCTTTCAGTACCTACATCAAACAAAAATAATACTGTAGGTTGAGATACACCATTTGCTATATTCACAGACTATTTATAGACCCTTTGCAGTAGGCCAGTGTTAACTCCTGGGGAGTTACAGGTCAGGAACTGCTGATGCAATATCATCCTTCAGGAAGATAGCTTTAAGGGGCTTTGATTTTTTAAGTCTTCATTCAGTAACTAGACAAATAGAGAAGAGCAGAGAAAGCTCTTAAAAGTGAAATTGCCAAGGTTAGTCTCCAACTATTAAGTTATGTTAGATAATGACTTAAAAACAAAATATTCTTTGTATAAGTATGGAAAGAAAAAATTGGGGTGAAACTTTCCCAGTTTAGTGTGGGGCAGAAATATTGAGTGTAGATATATTTCCTAACATTATAAATGTGTTGATTTCTAGATAAAGTTTTGAGGTCAGAAATAGAGGTTGGCTAGAAAAGGAAATCTTTAAAATCAATAGAAACAGACTTCACCGGCTTCCAGTAGGGCAAAACCCTTGCAGCTCCCACTCTGTACTTTAAACTCGAACGGAGTGTACTGCTTTGCAGAAGTGGGAGGGCAAATGCCAAAGGAGAATCTGACTAATTCTCACATCAGTTCAGGTTGTTATTGTTTTCGCGTGGTGTGTTCTTTTAACTTGTGTGCGGTGGACGTGCTGTGTGGGTGTCCAGGGAAGGAGTGAGAAGGTGAGTGGTAGCTGGGAATGTTACTTAATAGAACGAAACCATCCCCAACCTCCTGCACCTCATCCTTGTCCTGTCCAGAGCCAGTAGTCCAGCAGTTGTTGGAGATTTAGATGGAGCCCCTCCAGCAGTTGGGGCCTCTGAGGGCTACAGGATGCTGGTGCTGTTTTCCCTTCTCCCCAAGAGGATTCCACCAAACTCCCATTACTCTGAAGGCAGTCTCCAGCCCCGCATTCATCCTAGGTTCCCTTATGTATTTTGGAACAAAGCACAGGGGTTTTAATGCGGCCCTGATCTAGCACTGATGATTGACTTGTTGATTCTTCTGCACGCAGGTGGCTTGTTCACGTACGTTTCTGGAGCCAATTTCCTTGGTGAGATCATTGAATGGATCGGCTATGCCCTGGCCACTTGGTCCCTCCCAGCACTTGCATTTGCATTTTTCTCACTTTGTTTCCTTGGGCTGCGAGCTTTTCACCACCATAGGTAAACTTTTCAATCAAGGTGGCAGCATCCACATAGCTTTCTTCTCCAAATAGGCTTTTATTAATACACAGAGTCAGATATAGACACGGAAGAGATTTTTTTTTTTTTTACAAGGTAAGGTTGATACAATTATCCAGACGGATAAATTCTGACTTTTTGGATTTTCACTGAAGTTGAAATTTGGCTGGATGACAGTAACAGTAACAATTTTTTTTCTTCCTATGAGCAAAAACAAACCCAGGTAGACAGGAGCACCAAAGTGACTTGGGAAGCCACATGCCCCCTTGTTGAAGAAGGCTTCCCAGAGAGAAGCGCTCGGTGTCCACGTGAGTTAGTTGACTCAGGCTCTGTGCCCTCCTATCAGGCTTATCTGGCAATGGCTGCTGTCTGGCAGTGGGCTACAGGTAAGAGGAGGTACAAGACGTAGATTCCATTTCCGTGCCTCACTTCACTTCCGCCACATCTCTCCAAGTGTGTTCCATAGGTGGGAGTCCAGGTTGCACTTTCCAAAGCTTCACAGGTAATTCTGAGGTACAGCCAGGATGGATAACCACTGGGGAGAAGTACTAGCCCTGTGCCTAGTGTGCCTACTACTTTTAGTTCTAGGTTTGGTGCTAACTGTTCAGGTAATCACGGAGCCCTGGAAACTCTAGGGTTGTTCTCTCGGAATCTGCGTAATACCAGCGCTCATTTCGGTTCTCTCCTCCTTCCTCTACCTCCACCCTCCGTAAATCATTACCAAGGTCATTGCGGGCTTCCTGGGAAGATAGGGTCAACAATTATGTACTTGTGTGGTGCAGTTTCAGGACTGTGCCATCTGTTGGGGAACGCTGGGAATTGCAGGGGTTTAGACCCATTCCCCTGTCGCTCTAGCCTAAAGCTTTACCAAAGGCCTACCTCCCTCCCAGTCCCTGAGCCTGGGATGGGGTGGGGACAAAGGAGTTAAGGAAAAGCATCACTGCAAGGGAAAGGTTACATACTAAGTTGCTATCAGGCTGTAAAGGCAAATGTCAGATTCCTTCGCTGAAATGGGGCTGGAGGAAAGAGAAAGCCTGTGGTTACTGGTGACAGAGAGGATGGATGCCCAGAGAGAGAACGGGCTTGGAACCAGGACCCTGAAGGAACCCCTTATACTCCTGCATAGGTGTTTTAGTCCCGCTAATGATTTACTTCAAAGTTTTGAAGGTTTAAATAAGAATGTGTTCTTTTCCTTGGAGTGGAATTTATGCAGAGACCTGTGAGAAATGAATGAAACAGCAACTCCTCATGATCTATTCTTACCCCCTCCTTTGCTTGGTGGGGAAGGGCGCCGGAGGGTCCCCAGCCTGGAAGGGGGTCAGTGTAATAGTTCTCCCCAATTCAGGTAGGCCTGTTGCCCACCAGAGTCAGAGGGGCAGGGGAGAGGACAGGGCATCAGCCAGCAGTTGGAGGGGCCCTGAGAAGGTTGGCCTGTGCTGGGCTTGGTCATGGGAGGGATAGCAATCCCACCAGAGGGTTCTAGCTAGTACAACAGCAGAATCCAAACTGAGGCCCTGTCCTATTATGTCAGCCTGCTTCAGAGGGAAGGGCAGAGGGCGTCTTTTCACAGGGCTTACTGGGGTTTGTGAGAGGCAGCTCAGCAGACCTCAAATCACAGCACGGAAAACCAGCCACCTCCTGTGACATATTAATACTATTTGTCCCTCAGTTCAAACTATGGTACTTGAACACAGTGTATCATCTTAATTATAACTTGAGAGCTGCCAGCTTCAACTGGGTAAGAGAACAGCCTGGTCACTTAAAGGGAAAGCCTTTTTATAAGATGCATTAGTCTCCCTGGGCTGCCGAAACAGATGACCACAAACCGAGTGGCTTAAAGAACAGAAATTTATTCTCTCACAGTTCTGAAGGCAGAAGTCTGAAATCAAGGTGTGGGCAGGGCCACACTCTCTCTGGAGGCTCGAGGGAAGAATCCTTCCTTGTCTTTTCCTAGCTTCTGGCAGTGGCCGGCAATCTTTGGTGTTCATGGCTTATAGCGGCCTCACTCTAATCCCTGCCTCTGTCTTCACGTGGCCTTCTCCCATGTGTGTGTGTCTCTGTGTCTCTTCTTTCCCTTCTCATGAGGACACCAGTCATATTGGATTAAGGGCCCACCCTGCTCCAGTATGACCTCATCTTAATAAATTATAGTTGCAGTGACCCTATTTCCACAATAAGGTCACATGCTCAGGAACTGGGGGTTAGAACTTCAGCATATATTTGGGGGGAACACAGTTCAACCCATAATACAAGGTAACATTTTCTTGGCGTTCCCAGGCCTCATGAAGGGATATTTTTCCTGGGGACATGACCAGTTCTCTAGGGTTAACGTTGCCTATGCTCTTTGGGGTCTCTGGTTCCCTGTATTTCTCAGTTGAATCCACTGAGTACTTCTTTTTGGCTATGATATATTTTTTATTGGGTAAAATATACATAACATAAAATTTGCCATTTTAACAATTTTAAGTGTATAATCCAGTGGCATCGGGTACACTCATCATATTGTGCAGCCACCACTGCTGTCCTCTGGCTATTACTTTTTATTTCTCAACATGAGAGGCTTCAACATCTACAAGAGATAGGATGCAGGAGGGAGGAAGAAGATAGATGGCCATCTGGAAGAGTCAGACCCTGAACAACTGCAGGCTGATTTGTAACAGGGATTCCAAACAGATCAAACCTCAGTCGTTGACCACTGCTTGGTTGTATTTCTAATTATTCCTCTCTTGTCTTTTAGATTCTACCTCAAGATGTTTGAGGACTACCCCAAGTCTCGGAAAGCCCTCATTCCAGTCATCTTTTAAAGAAACCAAATAAAAAGGGAACAAAGCTCCCACAATCCTTTTGAAAACCATCAAGCTGCTGAAC